TCATCAACACTGACAACTGTGTTAACGAGAGAATCACTGACATGATGTCAGCTGGTCCTTTTGTGGCAGGGCTGAAATGCAGTGGAAATGTTTTTTGGGGACTAAGTTCATTTCCATCGAAAAGAGGGACTTTGCAATTAATTACAATTGATCTGATCACTCTTCATAACATTCTGGAGTATATGCAAATTGCCATCATACAAACTGAAGCAGCAGACTTTGTGAAAATTAACATTTGTGTCATTCTCAAAACTCTTGGCCAGGACTCTAGATCAGTGGTCCCCAACCCCCGGTCCTGCAATATGGGGCAGTGCAGGGTCCCGGTGTTCGAACACCGGGGCCCCGCACTGCCAACGGGCTTCACAATACCACATAATTGCAAGTACAGCCAACATAGGCAATATTACACTTTAGGATAGCAAAGTAGCCCGGTGCAGTATGCAAAAAACTGCACACTGTGGTCAGCAAAAAAAACAACAAACAGTTAATATTCCAAATGGTGTCGCAAATGAGTATGTTGAAATGGTGCAAGTATATCCAATCCAAGTGATGATATCAAAGTAGATATGTCCCATCAAATTGCCATAATAACATCGCAGGACCTGCGGTAGTCAGATGCAATCTTGCAAACGCTGCACAATGTTATCAGTGTGAGTGGACAACATATATATTCAATGCTCTAATGGTAGCCAAACTGTGTAGTGCACAAGGCTCAGGAGAAAAACCGTGCATCTGAGCCATGGATGCACTAATACAGGTACTCAGCTTTGTCCTGGCTTCTATTCAGCTGGCTACCTTGTTATCCCAAGGTGTGATATTGGCACTTCGTTTGGACATATTGATACCAGCTATGTCGGCTGAACTTGCAATTATGGGGTATTATCATCTGCAGTGACTTTTTTGGTTACAATACTCAATGTATTGGCTTCCACATCTCTCAACAGCAGTTTTTTGTATGATTTTTTATGGTGACGTCACTAAATAACATATTATTTGGGGCTGATTTTTATCATGCATGATGAGTTTAACATATGGTCTGGCCAGACATTTCAGACAGCATATTTTGGGTCTATATAACATTAGATATTAAGCAGGACAGATGCATCAATTTATGGTTCCGAATTTTGTATTTCCATTTTAATACATTTGCACACTTTTAAAGAAGTATGTTTTTTTATTGATTCCAAGGGAGTACATCCCTACTAGGGGTTAGTTCTTAATGTTTTATATTTATATTTATAAATAAAGAATTATAAAAAAACATCTATCAAGAAATAATATTACTGGGGTCCACTAATACCAGTGGTAGTGTTACCAGCCATCTGCTGCTTCTGCAAAAGTATCATGGCCAAGTGACACTTCTGCAAAAAAATTAAAAAGTAAAATTTAACATCATAAGAAACCATCACCTCCCATTTGTATCTTAATGTTTTATATTTATATTTATAAATAAAGAATTATAAAAAAACATCTATCAAGAAATAATATTACTGGGGTCCACTAATACCAGTGGTAGTGTTACCAGCCATCTGCTGCTTCTGCAAAAGTATCATGGCCAAGTGACACTTCTGCAAAAAAATTAAAAAGTAAAATTTAACATCATAAGAAACCATCACCTCCCATTTGTTCTCAGAGTGTTGTAGCTCCTTTAGAAAGGTAAACTCATGATATGTACCTGTGCTTCCTGCTGGTTTAACTAGAGCATTGCATTAGAGGCACTTATCACTAAAAAATAGACACAAATTCTGCTTAGAACATTAAAACAGTGCCAGATTTTAGAGTGCAAGGGTTCCTGTTGGGATACCTGTTCCCCATGTTTTACACCTGGCTTGGACTTCAGTCTTTGTCTATGCTTGGTTGTCCATTTGGAACTTTGCTGTGTTTGTCTGTTAGTTCACCAGCTTTTTTCAGCAGACAAACCCAGAAGCCATGACATTAAGAGCATTGCACAGCATATCACCAACTTCCGTAAAGGGGTTTCCAGCAAAGACAAGGATAGGGGTACCAATGCCAACCAATGGTGTCAAAGGAGATATGCATCAATCCATAAAGGTTTTCCATAGTCATGATTCCAGACATTGTCCTTCTACTGGACACCCTGAAACACCTGTTTTTAGACCACACTGGGGACATATGCAGTTTCATTACCTATTCTGGTGGCTCCTGCTCTTGTTGCTTCTCCTTTTATAGATCCCACTGCAATATGGGCTCAATCTACTGTCACACTACAGTCTTAAAGAAGAACTATGGGGTCAGGGCTTTTCCCCATAGTTCTCCTAAGAGTAACGGGAGGACACAAACTAGCGTCCTCCCGTAATTTTTTCCCCTGTTGGAGCAAATTGAACCATGCTTTATAGGGTTTTTTTTTGCCTTCCTCTGGATTAACATTGGGTAATTGTGGGCATAGTGTTCTGTTTAGGCTTTTCTTCTTTTTTTTTCTTTTCTTTGTATCTCTATAGGTTGGACTAAATGGACTTGTGTCTTTTTTTCAACCTGACTAACTATGTAACTATGATGGGCTCGGGCGTATTCGCAGCTACACGTGCCGAGCCCCCCAGGAAACTGACAGCGCCGCAGCGCCAATCACAGACACTGAGACATTATCCCGGTCCGCAGCTGCCAAAATAGTGAAATGTCTCCGTGCCTGTGATTGGCGCGACGGCGCTGTCAGCTTCCTGGCGGGCTCGGCACGTGGAGCTGCAAAAACGCCGGAGCCCATCACTATTGGCTAATTCAGGCCGATAAATCTGCATGTTTTATTTACACAAATAAAAGGTATCACTTAAACTACAAACGTTCTGAATTGATCAATGACTAACACAATACATGACTCTACTACTGCAAAGTTAGGCAAAAGTAAGGGTTCATGTCACCAAATGCAGAACAAAGGAGGTCAGTGCTGGAAATTTTCTGTCTCTAATAAACTGTACAGTGGTACTTGGTTCACAAACGCTTCTGTTCCCGAACAATTCTGTTCGCGAACAGGAAGTTCGGCAAAATTTTGCTTCCATTCACAAACTGGTCTTGGCTTCCTCTAGTCAAGAACGCGGTCTGATCACAGTTTGATTAGTTTCACGACCAATTCGGTTTGCGACCAGAATCATGGAACGAATTGAATTCCTAAACCGAGGTACCACTGTAATTGCAGATCTGAACAGGAAGTAGGTAGATATATTTGTCTCTGACTGGATTTTGCTTTGGCCGGGGTTGGTAGGGAGAACAGGATTAATCAAACTATCACCTAGACTTCTGCACCTGCCAACAAGTAGTGTAGCCCACTTTTTTTAACAAACTGCTCCAGCGGTCTCAGGTGTGAAGAGTGTCTTCCCCAGACTACATGTTTCAGTTCTTTCCATAGATGCTCGATAGGATTCAGATCAGGGCTCATAGAAGACAACTTTAGAATAGTCTACTGTTTTGTTCTTAGCCATTCTTTGGTGTTTTTAGATGTGCTTTTGGGTTATTACCTGTTGGAGGACCCATGACCTGAAACTGAGACAGAGCTTGCTGACACTGGGCACTGCATTTTGCTACAAAATTCATTGAGAGTCCTACTGAGATTCAAGGCACCCTGTGCCCCATGAAGCAAAGCAACCCAAAACATAACCAAACTTACTCCATGTTTTACAGTAGATACAGTGTTTGTTTCTTTGAAAGTTTTAATTTTTTTAGAGCTAATGTGTGCCAAAAAGCTTCAGCTTTGTCTCATCTGTCCAAAGGACATTATCCCAGAAAGATTGTTGCCTGTCAAAATGTATTTTAGCAAATTGCAGTCTCTTTTTTATGTTTGCTACTCTCTTTAAAAAAGTGATCGGTGGAGTGATCAGACACTAATCCCATCTTTTTGTACCCTCCCAACATACCTGTCTACCTGCCTTCTCCCTTCCCCTACTACACAGTCTTGAGCCTTCCTTACTACCCCTCCATTACATAGCTCCATTGCCTTTTTTCCCTCAGCCCTTCAGAATCCTGTATTCAGGGACAGGAAGCCAGTCAGAGATTCAAACAGATCTGGGGAACTCCACTCTGGGAAAGATGTAAATATTTGGGGAGCTTGGGGTCAGTTTTTAATGGCAGCCTCAAGGTGGACCAGTGGACGTAAAGTAAATTTTGAATTTACATGTTTTGATCAGTTTTGTATACCAGCCTCCATAAATGTAATATTCTGCCTCTGTGATTGGTTCACTGCTTTTCCCAATTGTTCTCTAGTTACAACAGTAACCTGACCATGTGATTGTAGCAGGCAGATCTTTCCACTTAGCTTACAGGGAAGAGTAGGTGAATGTAATGTAAAGGGTCTACTTTGAAAATTACTGCCAACTAATAAGCTGGGCCAATGCCATTCGCATGGCATTCCCACCACTAGATTGAGCTGAGGAGCATAAGAAAAAGCACATCGCAAGCACTTTTACTTTTTTTACTTTTAAATGAAAAAAGCTTTCTGCTACCTGTAACAATGTTAATAGAATGATAATTATCCAGAAATATGAGCAAGAGTTTGATTTTAACCCCTTCATGACTGAGGCCTTTTTTTCATTTTTTGTACCCATGTTATATTCAGGAAGAATTACATAAAGCCATATGTGTGCACTTTTTTTTCCTTATTGTGAATTCCAGCGGTGCCTTCCATATCCCTTCACAGCAAGTGAGAGCAACAGAAGAGGAAATGGGAGAAATTAGTCTTGGTTTTAGCTGGATTGTGTATGTGATATCTAGTGTTCTGTAATATCTAGTACTCTGTATGGCATGTGACACTGTGAGGTCCACTGAGTTTCCATTATTTCATAAAGGCACCCCAATGCAACTAGCCATCACATGTGTATTGCATTGCACCACAAGGCATGATAAGGTATTACCATGCCTTGAGGTGCAATGCGATTTAAAAAAAGGTCATGCACTTCTTTAGTGCAATTTAGATGTTGCAGACAGCATACACATCGCACAGGTGTAAACGGGGACTGAAAGTTTCTAAGACCTCATTCTTAGAATTTCATACTTACGTTGCTTTTGACATCTTTCAGTTTTGGCAAAATATCTAATGCAAATCCATCAGCTTGTCCCCTGGTCCTGTTTCCTCCATTCATGTAGTTACCAATTGCAAGAATCAATCCTAAAACACGCAGCACTGCAGGATCTTCTTTTAAAATCTAAACATGGGTAAAGAAGCAAAGTGAACATAAGGAATTTAGCTTTTGTTTTTGATAGTGTTTTTTAAATTTCATTTTAAACATGGGAAATAACAATGAAAACCAAAATACTGTCAATTAGGATATTCATATTGCTCATATGTCTTCAGATATATGCATTCTCAAGCCCATATAATGCCACAGTCATGTCAGGACTATTTTGGGCTAAAAGGAATTAAACTATAAGGCCTATACATATTATTGGGCATCCTGGAATCCATCTTGGTTCTGTCTATTCTATCAGTATATAAGGTGAATTTGAGTTTGTGGTTTCTGGACAAAGACTCTAACATCAGCAATTCTTAGAGCCTTACCACATACATTCCCAGGTTGTAAATTGTGGGGGTACTAGACAACAATGACGAGAAAAGGACTGAGCATGGCACCAGACTGTGTTAGAATGATATTAATGGAATTGCCATGTCTCAAACTTAACAAAGAACAAAAGAGACTACTATGATTTCTTTTTCTTTTCTCGTTAAAGGAATAAGAGCTCACTATAAAAGTTACCTTATATACAGTATTATTATTTGAAAGAAATTGTATTAGCAATTTCAATTGTATTATTAGTCTTGCATGAAGCATCTACATACTTACCTAATTGAGTAATTTTTATATATATTTTATATATATACAGGTGAAACTCGAATAATTAGAATATCGTGCAAAAGTAACTGCAGTAAGTGCTGCAAAAGTGGCCCAAACCAAGTACTGAGTACATATGCATGCTTGTACTTTTCAGAGGTCCGATATTGTTCTATGTACAATCCTTGTTTTATTGATTGCATGTAATAATCTACTTTTTTGAGGTTGTGGATTTGGGGTTCTTGGGGTTTTCATGAGCTGTAAGCCATAATCATCACAATTATGACAAATCACGGCTTGAATTATCTTGCTTTGCATGTAATGAGTCTATCTCATATATTAGTTTCACCTTTTAAGTTGCATTAGTGAAATAAATGAACTTTGCACGATATTCTAATTATTCGAGTTTCACCTGTATATATATTCTTACAATATTCAACCTATATTCCTTGCATATTATTTGGTTGTACTCATTGAAACATATTAGTATATATTATTAATATGGTGTTTGTTTTTTTTTTAAAGTACAAATAATTATGTTGGGTATACGGTTATTTTGTAATCAGTATGAAAGTGAGTAACCACTGTGTCTTAGTACAAATGACTTCATTCTCAATGTATGTGGAAGAAAATGTAATTGTTGTTCTTGTTCAGACTTTCTCAAGCTATATATCTATTAGAGAGACAGTAAGTCGGACAGGTTCCGCCAAAGAACAGACCACCCGGTTAAATGTTATGGTTTTGTTCAAGGCTTAGGTCAGAGGCCATTTCATGGAATAATATTGGAATTTTAACCCCTTCGTGACTGACGACGTAGCCAGCATCGGGGCTGTTTAAACAGACTCCCGGCGACTTTTGCCACCGGGAGTCTGTTTAAACTTGTAGAGCCGACTGTCGGCTTTACAACAGAAGCGATTCTGGCGAAAACTGGGCATGTTGGGTATCGTTTTACTCGTTGTAACCTCATCTTTTATATTTCATTTAAAAAATTGGTATTTTGTTGTGTTTTGGAGCATTTAACTACATTTATCACTAAATTTTGGGGTTTAATAAGGAGTTGCGCTAATATTGCGCAACATAAAACTACCACCATTATATTGTATAGGGTCTTGGCATTCAGAAAATATATAATGTGTGGGGGTTTTAAGTAATTTTCAGGCCTAAAATGTGGAATATAACATGGGTGCAAAAAATGAAAAAAAGGCCTCAGTCATGAAGGGGTTAAGGCAAAATCCAGAATTATTTCTAGTCCAATATTGCCCTCTTCAGGTAATTGCAGGGATAATTTTTAGAAAAGTGATACCTTCCTGACATAATAATTAGGATGAGATAAGCCCTCTCATCCCACATTTTTGGGTGATAAAAGTTAGGAGAATATTAAGAGTAGGGGGACGGAAAGACTAAAAAAAAAAAGGAAAGAATATACAGGTGGACATACATAGACACCGGAGTGAGAGATCTGAAGGTGATTGACCAGGGGAACTGAACCAAATAGGAACTGAACATCTCTTGTCCCTATATTGACACAGAGCTGACATCTCTTAAACAAAATAATTTAAAATTTTTGGTAAAGTATACATTTCTATTTATCTGTAGGCAATTGTCTAGCCATATATATCTAACTGAACCATTTGGTCATTGTTAGCATCAAGTTTGAATTGGAATAATTCTAGCTGCAGTAAGAATCGTCTCTTTTCAATCTTGGGAGAAATATTTCTAGAATCTCCTTGAAGCTGATTTCAGTTTCTAGTCGATGGTTTTGTTGTGATATATACATAAAATAAAATAACTTTGTGGAAGTTTGTCTTTACCTTAAATAGATTCTTGGCTGATAGCCAGTTCTGTGCATAGTATTTTAAGTGAGTTCATGCTCAGTAGAACTTTGAGCTTGTGAACAATCTGTTGGCTGGGAGAGGTCACATGTTGAATGTGCACATTATTTTGTCACATTCTGTTTAGTTACTGAGAAGCTACTAATTACATTCCAGGAGTTAATTAGTTTTGTTTCATTAATATTTGAAATAATATCCTGCGGTTTTATTTTATTATTATCTTTGTTGATCAATATTATTGAATATTTTTATCCATATTCTTTGTTGTCACCAGTTATATTTTGATTAATATTTTGCACTGATTTTTAGTTAATAAATATATATATTTTTGCACATTATTGTTCTTATTTTGTCTTCAGGTTAGCACAAATAAAGAACTCTAGTTATTAGTTGATTTGTGAAAATAAGATGGGAATCTCCTTAATTACAGATCCTTGCTTGTTTTCCATAAATAGAAAACTGTTTTTATTTTATCAGAGTAAACATAATGACAGTCAACTCACATTGGTTTGATGCTGGTGCAGCCAAACCAAACCAGCTGATACAGATGGACATCAATGGTGAACAATGGAATTTTTCAATGGTGACTGTTACTGACTGCTCTCTGCTACACACTACAATTGATTAAGTCATCTTGACTGTCCCCTTTGCAAGCGCCAACAATCATCCCACGTTCAAAGGCTGTTAAATCGCGTTGTTTACCCATATCTTCAGAAAAAAAATCACTTCTACTGCTTTCCCTATTTCACTTCTACTGCTTCCCTATCACAACCTGCTTCCCTATTTATAATGGTCTGGCCCTCTAGCAACTTCAGCGCAAAATTATAGCTAATTTGCCTACCAACATCAGGTGGTCATAATAATCTGGCCACTCAGTGTATATACAAAAAGTTTTTTACAGATGAAATAAGGGTTGTTGTTTTTTCTTCCAATGTTGCACATTTTTGTGACAAAAACAAATAAAAAAAACAAAAACAAGTAAAGATAATTTATTTAAAAAATATTAATGGTTTAAAAAATAGAAATAAAGGGGAATCAGCAGAAATATGATGGGGAGGGGGAGGGGTCAATTAGGACTAATTAGGGTTAACTAAGGTAATAAGGGGTTAAATAGGAGAATTTATTTTTTTTACTTGTAAGGTTGCCTTAGCCCATATCCTACTTTTCTCTGCAAATCGAAGGTCATAATGTTCTAATGGGACTTTGTTACTTTGTATCTCTAAATCATGCTTCTGAACAGTGTTTACAAACACTGTTAAGATGGTCAATATTTGATAGTAGCCACTGCAACCACAGTTTGTAAAAATGGCACAGACAGTAAAAAGGGCAGGAGGATCGGCAACAGTGGGGTAAAGGACAGGGTGTGCTACATATGCCCTTTGTACTTCGCTTAATTGTTTGGGGCCTTACATAGTAAGCCTAAGGTCTGAGATTGGTTGCAGATGTAACTATCAACTTTGTAAACAATTGGTTTACACCGCTGCCACTAATTATTTGGGTAAATTTACAGTTATTACAGTAAATTTAGCATAACAATGTGTATAACAGATACACTAACTAACCTTACAAACTTTCTGCAACAATTCAAGTTTTCGATGAATGGCGCTAATGTTTTCTGATATTGTTGACTGCAACAAAATGCAAAATACTCGCTCTGAAAAATTTGGTATAGTTGTCAATTCATAGAGGAACCTGCATGAAGTGAAAACAACATTAGACAAATTAAATACATGAGTAATACTTTGAATACAGCTACATTTGCATAGATATTAGAAGCATAAATATTATGACAGTAAGGGGGATTACACACCAGACACACGCTAAAGGGCTTGTTCACACCAAGCGCGGAGCAGATCCGGACCAGAGCAGGTGCAGACCGGATCAAAACTGTGTCCAATGTATTCCTATGGTATTTTGACCTCCAGTTCACATCGCAGCGTGCGGATCCAGACCAGATCCAGACCGGATGAAAAAAATGCGGCAATTCCTATTTTACCTGCTCTGGATCTGGTCTGGAACGCATCTAAAACGCATCTAAAACGCAAAAACGCATCAAAAACGCATGCAAGTGCCTGAAAGTCCATGTTAAACTTAAAAAAAAAATTTTCTTTTTTTTTACCAAAACCGGCCCTAAACGCATCCAAAACGCGTCTAAAACGCGCCTAAAACGCGGCACAACCCACAAAAACGCATCAAAAACGCATGCAAGTGCCTGAAAGTCCATGTTAAACTTAAAAAAAAAATTTTCTTTTTTACCAAAACCGGCCCTAAACGCATCCAAAACGCGTCTAAAACGCGCCTAAAACGCGGCACAACCCACTACACTGCGTGTGCAGAAACCTGACCGGATCTGGTCTGCATTTGGTGTGAACAAGGCCAAAATGCTCAGTGTTTGCATGCGGCTGGTGTCCATTGAGTGGGAAAGGTGTGCAGCGGTGCCTTGCATTTCAAACTGATACATAAAGAAGTGTTTAAGTTTTTTTTACTTTATTTGGTGTACACTGCATTCAGGTCTCTGCACAGCACAGTGTGCTGCACTACACTTCCAGTGCCATCCAGTGTGCTGCGGAAAAATGCTGCATGTCAGAATTTTTCCACACATCACACTAGTCTTCACAAATTTATTGCAATAAAGCTCTAAATAATCACTATGCAAGAAACTTAAAGACTCCTTTAAAAACAAGGTTAGTAAATGTTAAAAAATGTAGTATCTCTTTCCAGACCTGGAAAAAAGACCAAATTAGAAATTGGATATAAATAACAAGTAGGTTTATTTGATGTCAAACATCAGGAAATATTTTGCAATCTTTCCAAAACAAACCTTTGGTTGGTGTTCCTCTATAAGTTGACCTTAGGCTCGATTTACATATAGCGGTTGTGAATTCAGTGCTGTTTTATGCGCATTCGTCCGTGCAGCACAAAAATGCGCATATGTTAACATACGAGCGGATTCCGCACATTTGCAGCTTCTACTATAGCTACTACTATAGCCGGAACATGCTGAATCCGCCCAGAATATCACGCTTGGACTTTTTTACACGATGCACATCTTCGTGTTGCGCGGATGTCATGCAGGTGTGAACACAGTACATTGTACTGTATTAGATTTATGTTTTGTGCATTTTCGTACCTACGAATACTCGCGGAAAACCATTATTAATGTGAATGGAGCCTTAGACCAGGGGTAGCAAACCTCCGGCCCTCCAGCTGTGGTGAAACTACAATTCCCATGATGCATCTCTCTTCGGGAGTCATGTCTGTGGCTGTGAGAATCTTGCAATGCCTCATGGGATTTGTAGTTCCACCACAGCTGGAGGGCCGGAGGTTTGCTACCCCTGCCTTAGACATTAGAAAGTGGCCAGATGTGCAGATGCAGTTCCCTTGAAGAAAGTATTTTTATAAAAAACAGAACATAAACATGCATGCTCATCTTGCTCTAAAGTGTATGTTTGTGCCTGTGGAGCAATTCGGAGGATCATGAGCAGAGGCTATATAAGCATCCCTTTGTGAGATTCCAGTTGCATGTGTTTTCGTAGAGAGGAGGACACACATTGAAGATACACTTAAAGTCCCCACCCCACCCCGTTATAAAGTTTCAGTATCTGTTGATCCTGCCAAAAACTGTTGTTTTAATGACGCTGACAGAATGCATGATGTGCATAATTTTTGGCAAAACTGATTGCAATAGACTGGTGGTCTAAAGCATGATGAAAACAAATATTGAATAGGTAGTGGTGCTTCCCATATGCCGAGCTTTGCAAACATTTTAATAGCGTATTTTAAAATGACAAATGCCTCTGCACAGAAGTGCTTAGGATTACTGCCATTTTTCTTCTGTTTGCTGTAAAATGTTTTCCTTTGTATTGCAGCTTTATTTTTCTACGAGTGAACAGACCCACACAAGCAAAATTTGATCTATTGCCTCTAAAGACAAACAAAGATGTCATTCATCATTCAGTCCTACTGTCTTCTTCACCCACAGTGCTACATGCACATTGCCAAGTTATTCCCTGTGTAATATTATGTCAGAATAAATTAATATTTTATTTACTTTATACATTTCTGTTTGCTAGCACATAGCAAAAATGAAACTAAACTGTTACTTACTGCTCAGGTTTGTCCAAGGGTTTTGAATGTTCCTTGTTTTTTGAAGCTTTGATGTGTTTTTCAATCTTCTCCTGTTCTTCTGATACAGCTCTCTGTGGATGCATGAAAAAGTGCATTACAATGAAAGGAATACAAGATCAATCCAAAGTATCTCGCTGTGCCTTTTGCCTCACTGTTTCCGATTACTATTCTTGTAATATATCTACATCCTGTACTTCATATTCTTATTCTTATGTACTATTTCTTAAAGGAGAACTATGAGGTGAGTGCTTTTCACTCACCTCATAGTTCTAGCCGACCTGTGACAATGAGACTGTCACAGGTCGGCTCAGTAGATTGGGAGGTGAGCGAACACATACCGGCGTTCGTTCACCTCTCGATCCTGTCACGGCTCTCTGCCGTGACAGGGGAGGGGCTGCATTCCCCCCTCCCCACTCCGATCCGCCAGCACCGGCTGGCAGGACGGACGGGGGAGGGGGCGGGTACAGCTGGCTCTGCCTCTGGGTAGGCAGAGCCAGCTGTCAGTCACGCAGCTGGGCGGATCCAGACATAATTGTCAGGATCCGCTTCAGCTGCGGCGTCTCAGTATACCGCGAGCTGCAGCTCGCAGTATACTGAGCCTAGGGTGACGGGAGGATGATAGTTTGTGTCCTCCCGTTACCCTAGGGAGAACTATGGGGAAAAGCCTTAACCCCATAGTTCTCCTTTAATTGCAGTCTGTCTAGGTGTCATCTGACACAGCCATCCACACATCACATTGCTGACTATTAGTTACACATTCCTGTGTATAATAAAAGGTTCAGATTGATGTCCAGCCACTGCCAGTCCAGTCCTTATTGCACTGTTTGTGTGTATCTATTGGTGTAATTGTGTATTATCATTATTATACAGGATTTATACAATGCCGGCAGTTTGCACAGCACTTTAAAAAACATGGTGGAGACAGTAAAATTAAGCTGGCTATACACCTATAGATTATCTGCAGATTTTCTATGGTCAGATGGAAAAATTGCAACCAGGGCCAGCCTTTGGGGTGTTGGAGCTGTGCGGCCGCACAGACGCCATGGGAACAAGGGCGCCCGGCGGCCGACACAGCTCGTCCTCAGCCAACCGACATTAGAGCGCTCCCTCCTCCGCTCCCCCCCTTCAGCGCTGTCCTCGGATGCGCTAAAGCCTCTGGGGGGCACAGGAGGCGCTCTCATGTCGGATGGCTGAGCGGTAGGGAGAAGAGAAGCCACAGCTTTCAGGACGGCCGACCAGTGAAGAGAGTGGAGCCGCTGTCATCCAGTCAGTCTCAGGATGACAGCGGCTCTGTGCGTGGCCGAGCGGAGGATCGGTAAATATCAGTGATAATTACCGTTCCTCTGTGCATCGTCTGATCATTCCAGTGTTTGTAAATAACTGGTGACACATAGTACTATGTGTCCCCAGTTATGAATGAACAGGATGTGATTTATATCACTTCCTGTTCATTCATGATTTTATGAATGGGGAGTAGCACTCAGTACAGAGGCTTCTCCCCATTCAGAAACTGGTGGTATATTTTTACTAGCATCAGTTTCTGCCTGAATGGGAAGCCTCTGTACTGAGTGCTTTCCATTCATTTAGAACAGAGGATGCTGAAAAAGAGATTGAGGAATTTTTGTCCTCAATTTCTTTTTACTCAGCCATTGGATTCAGTTCTGGAGGCAGGGCGCATGAGGTCATATGACATCGCACATGTTGGGCGCCGCCATCTTGGTGTATATCTAGGTATACACCAAGATGGCGGTGCCTATATCGGTGTGTGACATCACCTGACGCCATGCATGCATGCTCCCCGCCTCCAAGATGGTGGCACATATTCACAGAACGCGTCGGTGGACAATATGGCCGCAGCGCATTCTCAAACAAATTACTATGTGCCTGAATACATTTTTCGTATATTCGGGCATATCGTAATTAATTAATGTAACATGTAGTCTAGGTTTTGTGTTCTGTTTTTTATTTTTACTTTTCTAGATGCATTTACTTGAAAAAAGGGTCGGCATGAAATCCTGACACTTTATTTTTATAGACTCTATTTTAGGTTGACATTTATTGTTTACAACTTGTTTGCCTACTATTCTTTTATTTAATAAGAATACTTATATTGTGCCTACAAGTTTAATACCTTTGAATAAAAGTTTTATTTTTATCATACTTTTTAATATGTTTCTTTGGGGCTTAACAAAATGGGAGTCTTTACATGGTGCGCATATTGGAGAAATGGGTGTGGCCACTGAGGGGTGTGGCTACTGAGGGGCACTGTAAAGCTTTCCCACACAGGGTGCTTAAAGGCCTAAGGCCGGCCCTGAGTGCAACACATTCCTCCATCTACGCTAAACTGTGTGGATGGAGGAATCTCCCACTGGACCAAGCTTCAGTATCTTCCTAGTTGGCCCCGCTGGCTGTCAAAATACCTAACTTTATTGGATAAAGGCATTGTTCAGGTGTTTTGAGAGCCAGCGGGGCAGACTAGCAAGATATTGAAGCTTGGCCCAGTGGGAGATTGCACCATCCACACATTTTAGAGTGGATGGAGGAATCTGTTGCACTTTTTCCATCTGACCATAGAAAATCTGCAGATAATGTATAGGTGCATGGCCAGCTTTACAATACACTTTCACTAAATGTACCCTGCTTGTGAGAGCTTACAATTTACAAGGAGGGGAAAATGGTACACAAGGTAAAAACTGAGGGATAAGCCGATTGAAGGAGTAGACGTACAGTTTCAAAGAAGTAATGGGATAGGCTTCCCTGAAAAGGTGGGTTTTCAGGGATCGTCTAAAGGCAGTCAGAGTAGGAGATCACCAGATAGGTTGTGGTATGGAGTTCCAGAGGATGGGAGAGGCTCTGAAGAAGTCCTGGAGGCAAGCATGGGAGGAGATGTAGAGGGGGCTAGAAAGCAGGAGGTCTTGCTCCTGCTCCGTGCAATGGACGGTTTCTGTCATCTTTTGAGACAAGGTTGGTGACCCGTATGAAATTTGTGGATGGCTTTGTTGGTAGTTTTTTTGTTTTATAAGTTAAGCTATTAAAAGCCAATAGAGGGAATGGCAGAGAGGGGAGGGGGCCACTGAATGGTTGGAGAAAGTGTATGGTGTCATTATAGATTACCCCCTCTTTGTCCATACATTTAGAACCTTACTGCAAGCAGAGTTGGGCAACATAGTGGACTGCTCTTCATTGATTGGTTCTAGGTTTCAAAGATGCAAAGTAGGCAAACTCTTTCTCTTTGTGCTCAGCCTCAGGGTACTTTGTGTGGCTATAACTTCTGATCTTGTTAGCGTGATAGAAAGAATAACCAAAAGACTGGGATATGAGGGGGATGGCACAAGACAAACTATAAGAACAATATTGAATAAGGCCAATAGTGACATCCTGGAGCCTCCATCTGATTCTATCACGTACATCATGCCTCACTGTGACGTGTACTTCAATGTTTTCACCCTAACAGCATCTTTTGTTCTTATTGTGTCATTTTATTTAACACATTGGGGCTGATTTACTAAAGGCAAATAGACTGTTCACTTTGCGAGGGAATTTGTACTAAGCAGGGGAAGTTTGCCCTTAGTTTGCTGACTTTTTTAATTTTCCGTACAGATGATTGGGCATTCTTTACGAAGTGAAGTTTCACCACATTCACTAAGCTAAAGGAAGCTTCCCCTGCAAAGTGCAAATTCTCTTGCAAAGTGAACCGCCTATTTGCCTTTAGTAAATCACCCCATTATGTTTTACTCTCAGTGGCTTGCTGCTGCTGAAGCTTTTGCTTTATTTTACATTCTTGTAATGCACAAATGTATCCCAGCCATTAACTGCTATTCAGTTCTTGACCTTGACTTTGCAAAGCCCTATTAGGTCAAGACACTAAAGCATAGTTCAGTTTTAGCATTTTCAGTTTTCAACTACCACCTTTCAACTTTACTAGACGTTTTATCACACAAATCAGCTGAATTAACCAAATGGACATGATCAATTTTTGGAGTATTTTGTATGCAAAACTCAATTTACAATGATTTATTGCACAGGTTTTCACCCCTAAAATATTGCTATCACTCGGCTAGCATTAACAGTGTGGTTCAAACCATTCTAATTGGAGATAATATTTTGATTCATGAGAAATAAAGGCTTTCAGTAGTAAAACCTATTTAATTAGGGTGTAAAGTTATTAGTGATGCTCATATCCATATCCTTTTCTTTATTCTTTTTTGATATATGGTGGATATATTTTGGTGGGGTCATCTTACATGAGCTTGGGATTCCATTATTTGTATGTATTATATATTTCAGCAGTTAAAGCCTATCTGCAGGCAATATTTTTTGTTTTGTGCAGAATTAAGAATATTTAGGGGTTTATTAAAAAATGATTTCACGCAAGATCTATGCAACTTTCATACAGCATTTTGTCCAATTATATCCATCTAGAAAATGTGAATGTTTGGTGGAGGTTATGTGAATCTTGTGGGAATAAATGTATCCATACGTAAAACAAAATTCCGTCAGATTTTACTTTTGTCTGTGACCCCAGTAAGAAGACTTTCACCTCCTGTCCCTGTTACAAAAGGACAAGAAACTTCTTAACTGGAAGTGAGAAAAAACTCCTAAATAGGAACACAGGCAGCAGTAAAAAACATATACATTATGTATGTGGTGCTTGAAATGACTACAACATATGCTGTGTTCAATTCAAGTAGAATTGCAAAAAGTCCCCAGAATTTCAATATTGTTCAATTTACCTTTTTATTGTGAAAGAATCATCACATATGGAAATATTGCCAACTTTTTTTTTTTATTATTGCCCTACCCCAATGCAATATACTATGTTGCCTTGAGTAAGGGAGCATGCAAGGCCCTGAAAGGTCAGCTATACAGTATTACCATTTATAATGATTCTTTCACAGTAAATAGAACACTACTGAAATACCGGTGACTTGCATTTATAGCTATAAAATCCTGACTTTACTTATAAAACAAAAATAAACCTTTTGCTGGAGTTGAGAGTTAATTAATAATTTCATGCAAATAAAATAGATTTCACAACAATTTTGTATGCAAAATTAAGGTTTTGATAAGAATATAAACATGTGACAAAGTAATGTGTTTGGTAAAATAACTTATTAGTAATTCTTAAGGCTCTAGCCTGTATCAAACTTCTATTTAGCTGTACATATATTAAAGCATTGGTGATCATAAACAAATGAATTGCCTTTCATAATTTCCAGCATTTTTGTTTAATTTTAAGGCCTCATTCAGATGGGGCACACAGACTGCGTTAAAGTGCGGACACCCGGACCCGCACGGATGTGCAAGTTTGGGTGTGTGGATGACACCGTACAGCATCCTCCCATAGGGAAGAACAGGCTGCTGCATGCAATTACATGCAGCACATGTCCCTCCAGGGAATGGCCTGTTTACGGGCGTGCACGCCACACAGACGTGTACGTCCCATCTGAATAAGACCTAATTTTGCAAACACAAAGAAAAAATGTTTTAGCCAATATAGACATGTAATTTTAAAAAATACTTACATTTTCAAACAAAGCTTGAAGAGTTTCCAAATCAACAACTGAATAGTCCATTTTTAAAATGGCTGAAAAAAAACAAAAAAAGAAGTGTTACAGAGTGTTTAGGTTCTATGGAAATTCAAATTTGTGTCAACCCTGATCAATGTAAATGATATGTATATAATTTGTCCATGCACCTGTTTATTGATTGGTGTATTATCTGGTTCTATAGAAACAGTTTACAGATTTGTGTTTGAATTGGATACATATCTGTTTGCCTGGTGTGTGACTTTTAGGGTAATATATATCGTAAAGAAAGGCATGTCTGCAATCCTACTGATCCTACTGATGATTAAATTGTGCTTCTGTAACCAATATTCTATTACAATTACAGCTGTATCCAACTACCAACATTATTTTCCGTAAACATAATCTATTAATTTTACCAGTGTTTGCATATTTTTTATTGCAGAAAGTTTGTAGTTTAAGTGATACCTTATATACTCGAGTTATTACTGATACAATCCTTTGGGTTCCCTTAGAGCCTTTCCTTCTCATCCCTTGGAGAATTGTATAAAGCTTCAGGAAGGGATCTAAGGGGTCCCATAAGCTTGGATCTGTAACAACTTTAGTTAGCAAATAAAAGGAATTGCTTGATGACTAACATGATAAAGTACTCTACTATTGACATATTTTTAATTGCTAGCAGTTTGCCAGAAGGTTTAAGCTAAACCCCAAATGATCACTTACCAGTGTTTGATATACATGGGGTTTAGCCCTTTATCATATGGATACACATAAAAATGTTTGTCCTACTCTTGCTATATTTTACATAAACTGTAAACACACATATAAACACAAAGTTTAATTTGTTAAAATATTGTAGTTTTAAAAATGATTATGCTTACCATTCTGAATATCCTTCATGTCTAAATGAAGACTAGACATCAATATTCCCACAGCTTGTGACCTTTTATTGTTTAAGAGCTTAACAACCTGTTGAGAAAAAAACATTTACTATTTCTTCCAATCCTAATCATGTATAAGGTTTCACTATAGCTGCACCCACTTACTTCACTCATTATATACTGAACCATGCCAAGCTGGATCTTAAGATATTAATATATATATATATATATATATATATATATATACACACATACATATACACACATACTAGGGATGTCCGGATACCACTTTTTCAAGACCAGGTACTTTTTATCAGGTACTTGCGGATACCAATTACCAATACTTTTTCTTAAAGGGACATGTGACATTTTTCTAAAACAACACAGACTGATGGTTTTAGGGCAGATTCTCACCAGACCTAAATACATGTCAACAGAGCTGAATACATTTCTCCACAGCAGGGCTCTGGGGGCAGTGGCTATGCTGATTAGGCAGGTGCCAACCTGAAATGCGGCGTGGAGAGTTGAACAGGCTCCGACTCTGGGGCTGTACGTGCAGGGTAGGGCTGTCCATGGCTGTGGCCATGGACAGCTACTGCCAGGTCCCCAGCAGACTGCCTGAGGTTGCCGCAAGCACGGTTTAAAAATGTAAAGGCCCGGTATCGGCCTTCATTATTGGGGCAATTAAACAAGTACAAGTACTCTGGAAAATGTCCGGTATCGGCCCCGATACTAGTATCGGTACATGCATATGTATATAGATATTGTCCCATGTTGGAGGCTCAGATGGTTAGGGAGTATGCTTTACAGAGCTTTGCTTCCTACTTTATTACTCTCTTTGTAACGTATGTTTACATGGTGGTTGTTAACGTAATATGTTCTTTTGCTCAGTCAGGCAACAGCATGGCTCTCTCACTGCAGGCTCTAAAGGGTATCCAACAGTAAGAAACTTAAATACCATGTTGCAGCAATGTTCAGCAGGCATAAGCGCAATGAAGTGTGCAGGCACAAATACCAATAAATAGAGTTTGATTTACTAAAGGCAAATAGGCTGTTCACTTTGCAAGGGAACTTGCACTTTGCAGAGAATGTTTCCCTTAGCTTAGTGAATGTGGTGCAATTTCACTCTGCAAAGAATACCCAATCACATGCAAGGAAAATTAAGAAAAAGTTTTTTGCTTGCATATGTTTGGATGATGGAAGTCAGCAGCACTTCAATCCATCCACTTCGCAAGGGGAAACCTCCCCTGCAAAGTACAAATTCCCTTGTAAATTGAAGACTCTATTTGTCTTTAGTAAATTAACCCCTGAATCTCAATATTCAATCCCCCTCTCTGATCTCCAACTTCTACAATTCTGCAAGTCTTACTACATTATTTTCTACTTATGCAAGGTTGGCCATAGCTATTTGCGGATAATTGGTTTGACTATTAATCACTTCAAGCGAGTGGCCGTATTTATACGGCCAGCCCCTAGAATCGGTTACACCAAAAACACGGCTGCTGCAGCTGTGTTCTTGCTACCATTGTAAACAGTCAGCGATGGCTGTTCAGATGCAAACAATCTGGCGTCTATACAGCCGCTGGGTCGTTTATACCGAGTGGTGGAGTGTGCGCTCCGCCATCGCCACCGGCTACCCCGGGCTCCGTTGTCCCCCGTGTGGGCCTGAGACCGGCACGGCAGGTCTCCCTGCATCGTTCAGTGGGAGATCAGCAAGCTTCTAGCTGCTGATCTCTCCTCTGATCACTGGACCCCGGAAGTGATGTGTATTACATCACTTCCAGTGTCACTGTGCACCCTCACCAGCTCTTAGAGCCAGGAGAAGAAGTTGGTGAAGCAGATCTCTGCTTCATCAGCTTCTTTGGGGTCCCTAGGTGACATTAGGATGTCAAGACCTGTCACATCCTATTTCCTTCTACATGGGGGATTATTAGCCCCCTATGTCATAGCAATACAGTTAAGTGTAAAAAAAATAATTAAACTGACATAAAAAAAATTAAAACAGCAAATAAAAATTAAAAGTCCTCCGCTCCCACATAGAAGCACAAACACTCCTACATGCAAAAATAAAAATTGTGCACACATGTTACATACCGCTGTGAACGACAGAGAGAGAGAGCAATAATTCTAGGACCATCAATTAATGTTCATACTAAACTGATGAGCAGTAAAAGTTTTTAAAGTGTCACCAATGGGAAATTTTGGGTATTGTTTTTGTTTTTTTTGCGGTTTCACGGACGCATGCAATTTTAAGGCTTCACATGCTTGGTGTTTATTTACCCGGCGTGACCCCATATTTTATATTTTACCAAAAAAGTGGGTATTATATTCTGTTTCTGTGCACTAAATTTCACTTTAGTGTATTCTATCCTAAAAATACTGGTTTGATAAACATTTGCGCAATTACCGCAATTATCATGCAACATAAAGAAATTGCAACTAGCATTTTTTTTACTCTACAGGGCCTCTGTTTTTGAAAAATATATAATTGTTGGGGGGGGAGTTAAGCTGTTTTCTAGCCAATATTCAGATTTTATACAATGAGAAATTGCTCCGGACAGCAATTGGTTGACAATCTCATATCTGCAGGCCAGTAAATGCTTATTGGCCAACTGCTTTGTTTTTTTTTCAGGCTAAGCACATTTTCTGCGAGTACAGAAAAATATCTGTGGATACTGCCAGAAATCCAGTGTCATTGTGGCATCCTATGCACTGAACGCAAATCTCAAACAATGTTCTAAGTCCAGGTCTCCTCTGTGAACTACAAATTCCATCCTCACTATGTAATGGAGAGGCGTACATGTTTGAAATCTAAATCAGGAGAGCAGCCATGGGAGATAATGTTGCTTGTTCATAGATACAGTACAGTAAGTGAGCATTGCCACCCTGGGACAGAAAGTGTGTTCCTGGAAGGATCACCAGGAAAAAATTAAAAAAGTTGAAAAAGAAAACTAATGCAGCCACAGCATCAAAAGACTCATACGTTGCAATATATTACATTTTTGTTCTTGAATGTAGATACACTTTAAGCATGAGAGCTCAGAGGCACACTTCACTATTGTTATTTATTGCAATGAGAGCTTAAAATACAGTTACATGACTGAAAATATTGAATTCACTTTAGGTTAAGCATTGTGAATTAAGTCTATTGTCTGCTGGCATAGCAGTATCAAACAGAGAACACTGTAGTTGGTTACATTTTTCTTGATAAGGTTTCTCCTACTCCTCCTATAGGGTTCTGTATTGTAATACTGTTATGTACACTAAGGAGACAGCTACATTATTACCATGAGGTCAGGCAGTTGTCAGACATCTGGCACCCCTAACCTTGAAGGGTTCATGTACATTGTCATCATACTCAGAAGCAATATACAGTATGCTTTCAAGTGCTTCTTTGTTTCTTTAACACAAATGTCACAATATCCAGAAATCCATGCCGGATTTTCACTTTGCTCCCTGTTTCTGGGCTGTCAGCCTATGGTGTCTCACAAGGCTGCAGCCAATCTGCTCTCCAAATTTGAGTTGTTTTGCCTTTTAGTTGCTAAATGTACAGTTAGAGAAGTTAGTTACAACTGATTTTTGACATCGTTCATGTGTTAGCCGAATATTTGCAAAAAACGAAAAAATAATATTGAAACTTACTTGCTTAGACTTTGTCTTGGTTATTGTATCAGAAATGGGTTTCTTTTTTTCTTTGATGGCAGTTTTTGAAAACAGACTTTCCAGCTCATGAACATCTACCTTAGGTTCGCTAACAGACTCCCATACCAGAGGGCTGGTAATATCTCTATGAGCAAACAGAGAGTATATTATGATTTTAAATAATGAACTGCTGCATCAATAATATTTATAAAATCAAGAAAAATATATCACTGTAGGGATGTAATAGGGAACTCCATATGTAACTAGTCTGAGTAATGAAAAGTGGATCTGGTTTAAAAATATAACTCACCTCTATAGCCCTGCTGTCCTTTAGCTTATCTACGTATATTTTAAAGTTTCACTATCCTTCTGCGGTTTTGAGACTTACTACAGGCAGTAACAGCATCAGAATGCATGGACCTGAAAGTGCTACTGTAGTTCATATTTTTGTGAAGTTATAGTTCAGATAGAGGATGTTTTCAATTAGGGAAATGTTATTAAAGTAGAACTCCATGATTTTCAAAAGTTAACCATTGCAGTGGGGCTACCCCCACACTGCAAGGGTTACTCGTTAGTTTTGGTCTAGGAAACGGAATAAAGAAGGTACACTTAAGTGATCTTTGGTCCTGTAGCAGTCAGCACTCACCTCTCTCCCCCTCCGTCCCGGATGTGGTATGTCCCTTGGCGTCTTCATGTCTAATAGACCTGTTAGACATGATGTCATCACAGGTCCTTAGATCGCTGTTGCCCAGGGAAGAAAAGGCTATGGGGACCAGTCTAGCAACAAGGCGGGATCTAGGATTAGGTAAGTATATTTTCTTTATCTGCGACCCTAGACCAAAATGAGCAGCTAACCCTTGCAGTGTGAGGGTAGCAACACTGCAAGGGTTGACTTTTGAAAATCCTGGAGTTCCTCTTTAAATGTATTCTACAGAATAACATTTATTATTAGAATTAAAACATAAGCTTGTGATTATGTGCAGTGAAATCTCATTATTATTATTATGTTATGCTCTTAAAAACATGAAAAGGGTTTGTGAATTTAGCATGTATTATAGGTATTTTTAAATCAGTTCCATAGCTGGGCTATAGCATTGCAAATTTGTGTTAATTTTAAATTAAGAATGCATTTAATGTCATTATTCTGGGCATAGATTGCCACTACGCACAGTGTGAATTTTGCCAACTATACCTATTTGAAGTCATGATATGACAGCTCAGCACTTTTCCATCCATAACTTTTATACGTTTGCCATATTCTGTTAATTTTTTTATGATAAATTTAACAACCTGAATACCATTTTGTAAAACTACCAAAAAGTCTGTTTTCCTTTTTGATGTGTTTGGTGGAGAATGGCTTGTGAACTTCTGAAAGATGGTATGCAGAAAAATGGCAAACATTTCTGTGCGCCACTATTTATATAAAATGGTGGCATTACTTCTGTGCCTGACTGTATTTTGAATCCCTTTTTTTTTACACTAATAATCGGTCTTATATCATGTCTAGTCTTAGGTACTCACAGACTAAAATAGAAAAGAAAAAAAGAAAAACTAAAAACAGGTTAGGGGTGAACATATACAAAACTGTTTTCTTAAGGGTTCCAGATATGATCATATGTAGCAATCAGATCAATTTGCAAAGTACAGATTCTTTTTCAATTCAGTGGCTAACGTTCAACTGAAAGATCATGTACCTGGTCAGTAATATTTTCAAGCTGGGATAGTAACATAAAAATAATATTTCTGATGAGTAATTGTATTGTTTTCTGTATAGCTATAAAACACAGTAAAATCAAGGAACTTGAAGGCATGTCGTATTTAGCTATGTAATGCAAATAATTATGCTTATCCTTACCTGCAGTTCATTTATACATGTTCGAACATATATACATTTAGGAATTTATATTGTAATACCTTTTTGCATGTAATTCAATTCTTGTCCAGTAAAGGGGTTTCATTGGCTTTGTTGGCTCAATAGCAGTTTTTCTGGTTCCTTTTTCATGACTCAGTCCCATTGCTAAAAATCCAGCTGGCAGAGGAGGTTGTAGAAAACCTGGTAATGATGATGTGGGTGGTTGAGTCTGAACAAAACATGAAAATGGTGAGGAATTTTGTGAGACACCAAATGGAGGTGGTGGTGGGGGTGGTGGAGGAGGAGATGCTATATTAGCCGTTGGTGGTAGTGGAGGGGGAGGAGGAATAAACTGAATTGCAGTAGTGCCTGGTAGAGGTGGTGGAGGAGGAATAGACTGAATTGCAATAGTGCCTGGTAGAGGAGGAGGAGGAGGGGGAGGAGGAATAGATTGAATTGCAATAGTGCCTGGTAGTGGTGGTGGAGGGGGAGGAGGAATGGATTGAATTGCAATAGTGCCTGGTAGTGGAGGGGGAGGAGGAATAGCCTGATGTGCAATAGTGCCTGGAAGTGGTGGTGGGGGAGGAGGAGGAACTGTAGTTGAATTAAATGGCGGGGCTTGCTGAAGATGGAAAACTGGGCTAAAACCTGACAGTGGTAGTGGTGGTGGAGCAGGAATTGTAGCAGCACCATGTGGGAAAATAGGTGGTGGAGGTGGAATTACAGACATACCTAGCTGTGAAGGTAATGGTGGTGGGGGAGGTGGAGGAGGGCAAACTACACTTACATCTGGCATAGAAGGTGGAAGTTGAAAATGATGAGCTGTATTGCTACCTGGTAGGGGAGGTGGTGGGGGAGGAGCAGGTATTGCAGCAGGGCCTTGTAACATAGATAGTTGTGAAAGAGGCACTACAGGGGCACCTGTAAATAAGGATAAAGGAGGAGGTGGTGGAGGTGGAGGAGGGGAGGACGAAACCTTAGCAGTGCCAGCAACTGGAACTGTAGATATATATAATGATGGAGGTAGTGGAGAATGAGGAATTGCATTAGTACCCATGCAAAAAGGTAGTGGTGGTGAAGCAACAAGGACTGTGGTAGGACATGGTACTTGTGATACAGGAGCTGTAAAATTAAATGTCTGTTGAAGTAGTGGTGGGGGGAGAGGAACTGAGTTGTTACATAATTGTTGAGGTAGGGTAGTTGGAAGACCATTGACTGAATTTAATCCAGGTACTGATGGAGGAGGAGGAATTGTGGTACAAGACTGAACCAGAGGTGATGTTTCACATGAGAAGGCAGAATGCAGAGCTAGACCTGAAGCAAGGCTAGGGTGAGAATGACTAGATGAATATGACTTGGATAATGAATGAGATGGTAAAGGATCATGTATGCACAGTTGTGAGTCCAATGAGTGTGGGGAAGAATTAGTAACATCCAGACAAGTATGATGTGTATTACTGTAAGAAGAATGAAATAGTGTTGTCGTTTGAACTTCAGAAAAACCATTGGTAATAGTATTTGCACAAGTTAAAGATGGGGATGTTTGTGGGAAAACTGTTATGACTCCAGATGAGGCGTTCTTATTGTCTGGTTGAGATTCTCTGTATCCTGTAGAGTTAACAGGAGACTCTGCAGAATAATGTGTAAGCTGTGAGTTGCCTGATGAAAAGACCTGATGCATAACTCTATCAGTTATTGTAGCTGCTCCATTTGAGGCAAAGTCCTCTGCGGGTGAAGTCTGCACAGATTTTCCTTCAACGTTCTTTAAAGATGTGTTTTGGTTGCCCTCATTTAGCGGTATGCATAATTCAATATTTTGATCTTGTGCATTATTTGTAGAAATGTTTGATTGTTTATATTGCTTTTCATGTTCAGCAAGTTTGGCCTTTAAATCTTCAATGGTTTGCTCAAGCTGCTGAATTATATTTGCATGATCTTCCTTGGGAGATACGTACTTCAGATGTTTGCCCTGTTAAAAAAATTATGAACTTTTGTTAAAATTAAAATTTTCACTGTTCAAGAGACCATAAAGATAACTATTTTAAAACTATCAAGGTGGTATCTCCACATAGATAGAGACAGTAGCCACAAATATTGTACAGTGGCTGCACAGTACAGCTTCAGATTGCAGCAGACATTACTGCCACCTGGAGCTGCAAAAAAGGCTACACTATACCCACCTCGAGCCCTACCTCATCCAAGATTTCTGTGTTACCACCACTCCCTTTTATAATCTAATGGAAATTTCCTGCTTGGGTTGCCCCAGAGTGGCAGATTCCCATCTGCAATTTTTTTTTTTCTGATGTTATTTATTTTTATTCTGGCAAGGAATATCTGATCATGTTAAGGACGACCGGGTGAGCAGAGAACTTCGCTCCTCCCTCAATGATTTGATTTTCCTATCTATTCCTATCGATATTTAGTTCCAGGAGTGCTCCCAGCTGAGTAATCAACAGCTTACTACTACTTATCTCCTCGCTGAGCTGCTTCTTTGCCGGGCTGCCCTTTGAGGAAAGAACATTTTCTCCACCATTGGACCTAGCATCTGTGAAACCCCCAGGTCTAGTACACCTTGAGAGGGGCTTACTGGACTGATATCCACCCTCTGAAAATTATCCTGCTCTTACCATCCATCTCTAGGCGATAGGTCAGTCAATTCCTATTACAGCTTTTATTGCCTTTGGGGCTATGGTGTTTTCATTGGGGCAGCCCTTGCCTTAGATTTGGGGCTCATCTTGGAACCAACCTCCACACACTGTTGGCCCTATTGTTTTCTCGCTTTAATTCTGTCATCATTATTGGTGGTCAGGAGTAAAAATGGACATAAACGACTTTGTGGTAGCTTGTACCATCTCCAACCAGGCCCATTAATGTTTCATCCTATTTTCAAGGAAGTCATGGAACATCTGTCCATGCATTTTATCATCAATCTTCCACCTTCCGATGACTTCATGATCATTTGGTCTGTGATCAATAGGTTCTCTAAAAGGCATACTTTGTCTCCCTCGCCACTGTTCCTTCTGCTACAGCCCTGGTACCGATATTCATTCAGGAAATTTATTTTTTATACTCTATGGTAAGCACCCTCTTGTACTAGTTCCTATCACACTGACTGTTGACGTGCCTGTTTTAGCCACCTTATAGACCTCTATCAACGCAATTGTGTCTCAGGTACAAAGTGTCTGCTTGATTCCACTCACAGGTACAATTTTTTTACCAACCAGGAGATAAAGTGTGGAACACTGCATAAAATCTTAGCCTTAAGATATCCTCAGCTAGGTTTGTTCCACAATTTATTGGTCCTTTTGAAGTCCTGGCCAATAACAATCCAGTGTCTTTCAAGCTACGTCTTCCACCTTATCTCCGTATACCCAGTTATTTTTTTGCCTCTCTTTTGAAGCCAGTAGTCCTTTCGCTGTACTCCAGTATTTTCTTAAGCAGCGTTCTCCCAGGACTACAAGGTCCAGCAAATCTTAGATATCAACATCTCCAGAGGGAGGTTGTTTTACCTGTTGAATTGAAAAGGCTATGGCCCAAAAAAGCGATGGACGCCTGGACCTTAGCACTAGGGCTAGACGCCTGGACCTTGGTATTATGAAAATTCCATTGCCTCTTGCCAATTATCTGACAACCTTCTCAATGCTTTATCTTTACAATTTTAACAATGTAATACAGATACTCTATTTATCCTGCACTTATGATGGTAATGCTTCTGTCATTCAAAAGATATTCAAAAGCTATAGGTTCAGCTTTTTTCACTTACATATCTGGGTGTCTTTCTAGTCAACTATGTCACATAGTTACATAGTATTTGGGGTTGAATAAAGACATACGTCCATCAAGTCCAACCCATATAGGTCCACGCATCATCTCATTCTTAGGGATACTGGTATCCCTGGATATTACGGTCCCTCAAGAAATTGTCCAAACGTTTCTTGAACAAATCTACACTCTTGGCTGAAATCACTGCCAATGGCAGTGAGTTCCAGACCTTAACCGCTCTTACTGTAAAGAACCCTCTTCGCCCATTGTGCTGGAATTTTTTCTCCACCAACTATAGGTGGTGGCCTCTAGTCTTTGTGATGGAGTAAATCTCAAACAGCTTGTTGCCAATGTTGCTGTCACCATTGAACATCTTGATTTCAAGCTCTTCAAATCCCCTTTCCCTATTTCAAAGAGATCCTAATTCTAACCCTATAACTGAATAGGATTCTTTGGAAGGCCTTGGCCTACCTTTTATTATGAGATACATTTTTATCTGTTCATTTTAAATTCAATATATTAAAAATCTGTAAAACTGTGGAGTTAATTTACTAAAGGCAAATAGTCTGTTGACTTAGCAAAGTGAATTCCCACTTGGGATAGAAATGTTCCCTTATCTTAGGGAATGGGGTAAAGCGCTGCTGACTTCCATCATGCAATCATGTGCAAACAAAAATAACATTTAAAAAAAAAATGTTCTTTGCATGGTATTAGTTATTTTTTGCAATGTGAATTGTTACCACGTTAACTAAGCTAGGTGAAAATGTCCTTGCAAAGTGAGAATTCACTTTGCAAAATGAACATGCTCTATACCATTAGTAAATAATCCACTGTATCTCTAGAAAATTAGAAGTCATCCCTTATTAAAACTAGATACAACACTATTGTATTCAGGAAATGATTCTGTACAATGTGTATCAATCATATTATTGCAAGTTTCTATAAACTCAGGGGAAGAATAAATTGCATCTAAATCATCTATACCAAAGTATAGGATCGGGCTACTTCTGCTACACTGTTTGTTATTAGGTACCATATACTTTAAGATTAAATCTAACTGCAATAAATAATGATATCTTCATTAACCTAATTATAAATAGGTGTTCAAAATGAAAAGTAACAGAGCCAAACTCTGTTATAATATGATATACGTTATGAAATAATATTCTTTAGGCCCAGTTCACACAAATTGCGCATGTGATTGTTCAGTGATTGCAGCACGGAAATAACCATATTGAAATCAATTGGGTCGTGTGCGATCATGCACGAGCGCGCCCATGTGTGAACCCGGCCTTACATTCCTACAAACTAAATCCTTTTTGTATTCAATTACTTACCTCATGCTGCTCTGCAGATTCTTTTGGTTTGTTTCCAAGTGCAAATCCAGTTGACCTATTCTCTGTAAAGAAAAATATAAATAATATCTGATAAGATAATATCGCTAATTGGAGGCTAGTATAACAAGCAAAATCAGATGATAAAATGCTATTCTTTTTATGTTGTACATTTGTAAAATACACTTTATTAAGCATTGATTCTTAAAATACAGAATGCCATAATCAAGAATGCTTTGATTATATGGTTTAATGTCATATTGTCACATTGATTCTATTTATTAAAGGAGAACTATGAGATGAGTGATTTCCACTCACCTCATAGTTCTAGCCGACCTGCGACAATGAGACTGTCACAGGTCGGCTCAGTAGATCGGGAGGTGAGCGAACACATACCGGGTTTGCTCACCTCTCGATCCTGTCACGGCTCTCTGCCGTGACAGGGGGAGGGGCTGGATTCCCCTCTCCCCGCTCCGATTTCTGCCAGCGCTGACTGGCGGAA